ATTAAGAGTGAAGGTTACTTTCAATGTACTGTTCCACGAAAAAATATATTCTCGAAAAGAGCAATTGTCGAAAGTTTTATGCGTGTTGAAATGTACAATGAATGTTTTCTTTTGACATCGCCTTCCTCGTATCGAAGAAAAAAAAAAAAAGAACGTTAAAATTTGTTTGATCGTGGCATGGACAAAAAAAATTGTTCCCCGATCCGCGATTAACTACGTTCTTTTCTCTAAGAGCAACCAGGGACACCCTGACGACAAAACGTTGTAATAAGTACACTTTATTTAAGGACATCTTAGACACTGCTAACTGTCTTATCTCATAAGGGCTATTTCTGATCGGGTTGCAAGGAGAACGAGGTGGAACGAGCAACTTACTCTCTCCTTCTCTTCATACATGCTCTGCATATTAACCTCTGGATGACTTTCCAGGTCGTTGCCGGCGAGATAAATGACCCCTCGATCAACTATCGTCCGGCACACACCCCTGGCCACATTTTTTACTCCGCGGAAATCGACTTGTAACCCGTATCAAGACTAGCGATATTTAAAGGTTCACGCTTCACTAACGTTTCTAACGATACAACTAGCATTTAAGGTAGAAAATAAACGGAGCATGTAAGCATAAGTAGAAAGAAGAAAAAAAGAAATGAAAGAACGAACGAGAGAGAGAGAGAGAAAGAGAGAGAGAGAATTTTTTTTCATCACGCTTTATATAGATTCGATCTTCAGCTACTGTGTGAAGAAAGATTGTGTTTCTATCGATAGCTCCAAAAAAAATATTTAATAAATTGCAATTGGAAGATTAATATATAAAATCATCTAACAAGGATTAAAACGGTGATTGTTTGATATACAAATGTAAGAAAAACAATTTTTCCGGAATTATTAGATTCACATATTTCAAGAACTTTTATTTATCAAAATATTAAATTATATATCCAAGTCTCATCAAATTTTAATTTTTATATTTATTAATCGTTAGATTTATATCATCATATAAAAATGATTGATACAAATGAATTAATTATTTTAATTAAAAATTCGCGAAAAATCATTGTTAAAATAAATGATAAATATCAATCATTCACATCTTATCTAATTAGAACAGGACAAAACATGTGGCATTTGATTGGAACATATGTTCTTAATTGATCATAATCTTGTAACGTCTCGTAATACAGAAGAAGAATAGTAGCAAGAAACACAATCGTAAGATACATAATAGCGACAATAATCATATTTTTGTATAAATTTCATTAAATATCGAATATCATTTAAATATTGCTTTACATGATAAGTATCAAAAAAGAATATAAAAAGAATAATAGTGGAACAAATGGAACAAACAATTATTCATAAAGTTTTTCTTTATGATATCTTCAACAATTCCTGTTTACTTGCATTTATCGAAGTGATGATTAAAATGGATTTTGTAAATCAATCCTCAAAGGCAAAAAATGAAAAAAAAAAATAAATGTATATATTATTGGATCGTAATAAGTATTGAAATGAAGATACACATACACGCATCAATATCACTTGTACTCTATTTATGTACGTGAATGTTTTAATAATTAAACGAAGATCAATTTTTTGAAAACACCTTATTTCCTCTCCTTTCCTTTTGATAATAGATATTATTATCAATTATTTCCGTTGCGCAAACTCTCATCAAGTTTCACACGATTTTATAAAATTCTGGTAAAATGCAACTCGAGATTGTTATCAATAATTATCGATGAGCTGAACGCGTAAACAAATTGAAATAATTGGTCGACATCCAACGATTCGAACTCAAATCTGTATAGGAGCGCGTGTTAAAGATGCACGTGTGTGCGTTTATTATTGTGACAAGTAATAATATGAATCACTTGATACGCTTACTGTCGATGAATAGTCAGTTGACTCTAGATAAAAATAATTGCAGCATCTTCGTTTAAAAATAAATTGCAATTGCATTAATCAAAAGAATTTTGAAGATGGTTGTAATGTTAACGTTACTTTTTCAAATTTATAAGCATTAGGTAACTTGAGCAAAAAAAAAAAAGAAACATACATATTTATCAATGATTGAAAAAAAATTGCAATTAACGTTGCATTCTAAATGTTCTGCAGAAGTATATATCGATGACGAGTCATGTTTTAATGAGGTTTCAAAGGCTAGCATTAATCGATAACAAATTTAACTGCTCTCGACCCTCGAAGACAGCGGTTATCTAAATGATAAATATTTTCAGTCGCTCGTTAAAAGAGGTTTTGCAATACCAATGAAACGACTGAATCATTTGAACAGCAATGAATATCATTGGCCACAATTAACTTTATGGTTAATCCAATTTGAGAACTAAAAACACATTTATGAATATTAAAATAACTTGAACAATCTGAAAATGACGTTTCATTTGATAGAACAACAAGTATATCTTTTAATGGAAATAATATAAATGCACCATAATATAATAATACGAATGATTAAATAATAATCAATAATCTCAATAAATCACGAAAAGAAAAAAAAAGTTCAATGAAAGAAGTTGATCAAAAGCGACGTTTGAATGTCGATAAAGCGGATAATGCATAGCTTTTAATCCTTTAATTTTTTACTACTCGGTCGATAAAGCAAATCGCGACGTAGTGAACAACGAGGTCAGAGCGAGACTACACCCGTAACGATCCCGTGTTTGAATTCAAGGTTTTCGCGGAAACGAAGTATGAAAGATGCTAGTAATCGTTTGGAATCGTGGTCATCCGCGTCGTTGTTGTCTTTCATCGTCGTACCAAAAGCAAACGTATGGCAACCTCGTCAACCTCGATACGCCTTCGCCAATGATAAGATAAAGGTTAGCATGTATACGTTTCTCGTGAAATCGCAGACGTAGGCGTTGTTGTATTTCGCTTTATTCGTGTGCACTTCGATCCTTGCGTTCGCTTCTGATAATGCTTTTTCTTCTATGCATTCTTTTTTTTCTTTTTCTCTTTTCTTTTTCCTCTTTTTCCTTCTTTGTCTTCACGATATCGTGAAAAAGCGAATGAATTGTGCAAACGAATTGTGAATCGAAGAATCTCGATGAAATGAGAGTTTCTTTTTGCGAGGTTAGCCTGGTCTACAGGTATGCGCAGGTATGCGCGAGTAGGCGCCATCGTGTGACCGCCCACGGAGAAGGTATATTTCTGCATCCGTACGTGAGCAAACGATGCGACTATGACGCTTAACCTATGTATATGTATATATATATATATATATTGTTAATCAAGGCTGTATCTTTGGTATCAAATTCACATTGCATTTCATTTTTTGAAGTTTTCAGATTATAAAATTTAATATTGAAAATATAATAGAATGATGGAATTCTTATGTGCATATATGTATGTAATCTATTACAATATATCTGTGTGATTAAAGTACAAATACACAACATATGCGTTCACATACACAGAAGATAACGTATGCAATGCAAACAGCAATGGAACTATATGCACTGGTGCACGTGTGGCGCTCTCCCAGTTAGCATGTACATAAATAAACTTCAGTTATAAACTCGGGTCTGCAATTTTAGTAAGTGCCACTCTTCATTCTGGACCAAAGAGCTTAAATACATACTTAATTACTGTTATTCTTTTATATCATTTATGACTAATTATTATACTATAATGTATATTATTTTAATACTTCTTCCTCTAAATCTGATTGTATGATATCCATAAATATATTTGAAGATAAACTTAGAAGATATAATTGGTCGAATAAAACAACAAAACAATTTGATAGAAATTCGCTTGAAACGTGTTGTAATAAATACATAACAAACTAATATTATACATTGAACAGGAGCCAATTATATGAAAACATGAACAGTTTCAGCTCAGACAAGACTTAATCAATCGTTTGAATAAAATAAGTATCATAGACGACAGCCTGTCTCGCCAAGAACCCTTGAAAGATACCTCTATGTTCAACTAACAGACAAGAATAACGGAAAGAACCGTCTAATGCGTTTTTTGCAAAGAATTACGACTGTAACGCCCTTTTCTTTCATATTTCGCATTCTCACGTGGCTTTTGCCGCATAAGTAAGGTAGGTAAGGGCCATATGAGTAGTATATGGTACACAGAATTCAAAGGTGAGGTGTCGCAAGTCAAGGCAGTGGTAAATAGAAGCATACTTATCTCGCTCACTCTTACTCTCGATCCGTTAATTCTATCCTTTGTCTGTCGTTTGCACACATACCCACAGAACAAGCACAAGTGCGTGAAAAGAGAGCAAGGAAAGCGAAGGCTACAGATCCCAAGCAAACGAACATGGAGGAGAAAGAGGGAAAGAGAATGGTCGACGTACATCATTTGGGCGCCGAGAAGTCTGGCGCGACCAGGCCAAGCCAGGCCAGGCCAGAGGCGCGTCTCTGGTTACGCGACCATTTGGGGCGCCAAGCATGGAGCGCCGAAGAGGTGAAAGGAGCGGGAGGAAGAACTGATAGAAGGGAAAACCATAGGAGAGCAAAGAAGAACAGAGAAGAGGACTCCAGACTAGTAGAGACGAAGGTAGGCGTTCGAGCATCGTCGTGTCGAGCTTTGAACTGTGGAATCGCATAGGGCGGCATTGTGGAAGGAGAAAGAGGGGAAATCAACGAAGGGGCCCCAGCAGGCTACATTCCAGCGGGACGCGAGTTTTCAAACATGGCTACCCACGTGAATGTAGGTCCACGACCGATCGTATAACACGCACACATGTGCGACCTTACAAACTACAAGATCTCCTCTTTCTTTCTCTTTCTTATTCTTGTTTCTCTTCGTTTCGCCTGTGTAATCTGTTCGGAACGATTCCCTCTCATAACGTGCTCCTTCCCCTAATGCCTGCTCCGTCACACGCTTATACTGACACTAACCCACAGAATCCCCTTGCCCCTTTACACCATCGGGTTGTTCGTTTCTCCTCTCCCCTCACAGCAACCCGGACGGCCCGTCCGACCGAGCTGGCGACACCCTGTCTGGCAAGACCGGCCGACGGACAAAGGAGGGGGAGCCTGGCCGCTGCGTTGCCACGTCCTCGGACTTCGAGCTGCACCTACCTTCGGCCTCAAGGACAAATCCGATGAACGTGTCAGCCGTCGTGGCGTACTTAGGCGACTGCCGGTCTGCTACTGCTATGCCTCTTACCGATATTCATGATCGCTCGTTCTCTTTGATGAACGGATAGAGCTTGATTATGATTAAATAAAGGATTTGATTGCAAAAAGTTTGACGATTGACATTCCATAAAACGAAGGAAATGAAACCTCGTTCTTTTTATAACGAGCATAAAATGCCAAAATGATGATATACACTTATAAAACTATGCGAAGGTCAAATTATATTCAGTCAGGTATCCTCTCGCCACAACGTTTGTAGTTGTCAGATGTTATTTAGGAAAGCTTGGAGTCGGTATAATCGACGGAGCGAGAATAACCAGCAAGATTCTTAGAAATGCAGTAGGGTGCTCCTTCGTGGAACGACAGAAGGATCGGACGGGTCTCAGTTTCTGCTGGTGGCGCGAATCGTGGAAATTTACGAGGCCTCGGTTCGTTTCTTTCTATGCGAATTGTCTCGCTCGCTCTTATTTCTTCAAAGTATATAGTTACTAACACGCGGCTTGCGTCATTGCTCGCAGGTCTCTCCACGTCCGTATACGTTGCGGCCTACGTGCGGCTCAACGATATGGCAACCGCGCGTAAAGCTAAACATATTAACTGTCGGCTCACGCCACAAAAACAACATGATCTCATTCCACTACGTATGTATATGCAAGGAACGTGTGATCCGCATGCACGCTTCGAAATCTCATTCAGAGATAACTAGAAGTGGATAAAAGCATTCGAGAAATGAAAAATAAGAACAGGACGAAAAGTATGAATAACCATCCAACAGTGACTCGGTAACGGTAAGTCGGTAGAATGGTCTGGTAATAACCAGCAAAGAACAATACAGATCGCATTACCCCACTGGGGCTATAATAGGAATGGCTCCTCGACCCTAGGAGATTACCAATACCAGCAAAGTTGACACGGCCACGGGTATTTTTCCTGGAAGGCAAAATCCCCTTACCTCACCGGCCTTTCCCCTTATTCGATGCCAATAAAACTTCCTAGACGATGGTCGCCGAGTTGGCGCTCGTCTACGGCAAACTTTCAAGAATCGTACCGTATGCGAAGTCTGACGTAGGTCTTCAACGATTTAACCTAGATAACACGCCTAATCTCAGCCACACGAGAAAACATCGTAACTCGAGTCGTGTTTGCTATTCTTTTAACGCTCCTTCGATGGGTTCGATCGCGATTCAATGAACAGAACGAAATTCAGCGTAGCATATGCTATCGTAATACCGAGAAGAGGCACGGTCAAGTCGCTAGGAGAAAGGCGAGCAAAAATCACGGCTCCATGCTGGCTAGCGCGGACCGAGAGTTGGTAGGCAGCGAGCGAGCGAACGGGCAGGCAAGCAGTCAGACGAGCACAGCAGACAATATGGCGCCGAGAGCGTCGTCACGCTGGCGTGACGTTTCCCGCGCGCGTCATTAACGGAAGTGAGCACACAAAATGGCGGAGTTTTACGGAGCTGAGGTGTGAAAGGGAGGATAGAAGGCGAGAGGGTGTGACGGGGGGAGGGGCGGGTGGGGCGCCTACGGGTGCGGGCAGTCAGGCAGGATGACGAGAGACATAGAAAGAGAGAAGTTGGTGGAGGTTAGGTCGGTGGCGCAAAGAAAGAAGAATGACTAGTGGCCAGCGGCGGTGGACTAGCGCCTGTGCTACACGAGTGGGATGACGTTGAGGGGAGCTTGCTGGATAGAGAGAAAAGAACGGAGAATTGATTGGTCGTAACGTGAAGAAAGAAGGAACGAGAGTACGACTGAGTAGGAAAGTAGGGGAAGTACGGTGAGAGAGTGTGGCCGGGAGTAGGAGAGCGCGCGGCAAGGGGCGATAGAGTGAGAGAGCGAGCTGGTGGCCCGAGAGGGGAAGGGAAAGATCGTTTCAGTGGGAAGCAGCCGCAGTCCGCTAGTAGTAGTGGGGATGAAAATTAGTTACGGCATCTACCAAGACCTAAAAGGAACTCCGTGCGCGGCGCGACCAGGCCACTTCGTGCAATGTTACGCGTTAAGGTACCCCCGTACGTCGCATCGTTAGCAGTGCCCGGTTTCGAAGCTCATCGTCGTCATCGTCGTCGTCGTTCTCGTTCTCGTGTTTGACGTGACGATCATCGTCACGGTGCGAAAAAGTTCGGTGTGTGAAAATATACGTTATGGCTCATGGCGTAAACGAAGTGCTCAGTGAAGGAAGCACGGTGAAAATGGTGCATCAAAAACAACAGCAACAGAATCCGAGGAAATCGGTCGGTGTGATGGGAAGTAGACGGATATTCGCGCCGGCCTTCAAGCTCAAGGTTCTCGATTCATATAGAAACGACATCGATTGTCGTGGAAATCAACGAGCCACCGCTAGGAAATACGGGATTCATCGACGTCAAATACAAAAGTGGTTACAGTGCGAGGATAATTTGAGAAATAGTTGTGCCGAGACTGGAAATACCGGAGTTGTCTCGACAACGGTGATCTCTCCCGTGGGTGTTTCCAAGCCGGATGGCACCGTGACGGAAGCCACGGGGCCTGCCGTGACTCCAGCAGCGCCGGCCTTGAACCTCAGCCTCGCCAGACTGCACGGCGACGAGCTGGCTACACAGCAGGGGCCCCCACCTCTTCTTTCTCATCCTCCTCATGGTGGTTCATCCTCTTCGTCCCAATATGTTTCCCAATCTGGAACGGCGCCGGTTTTATCCGTTCGTCTTGGTTATCAAGAATATTCTGTCAATTCAGAGCAACAGCATCATCCTCGTCGGGAAACGGACGATCGAATACAGGTAACGGTGGACGTTCAGGGTTATTCGGAGGCGCGCGCGGATCAAGAACCAAATTATTACGTTCTAAATTCGAACGGTCAACGAGGGGAACTCGATAATTTCGATGGTCGGAACGAGGCGAAGGTGTACGAGACCCTGACATCGTATCGAGTACCTCTTCAACAAGAGCATCGTTTCGGTAACGAAAATGAAATCATCGTAGGAACATCCTCGTTGCATCGGCATCGAGCTTCCTCGCCTATGCACCATCGATCTCAGCAAAATTACGGGGACGTAGATTCGTCAATGGACGGGAAATCGTACGGTTTGTTGCTAGCGCCGTCGATGATAAAGACGGAACGAGCGAGCCCAGACTCGGCGGCGACGCCAGGGCCGTGCGAATCCACCAGTTCCCCCGGTGCCCCGACAGTCTCGCTCTCGCCCGTTTCGCATTCAGCCAACGGCACCGGATTCAGCTCCAGCTCCAGCTCCAGCTCGGCTATGTCCGTTCACTTCGATTCTCCACGGCCCTCCGCGAGCCCGTGCTTGCACGTGCACGAGCATGAGCACGCACACGAATCCGCACACGCGTCACCAACACCGGATTCCGAGAATCCGATCTCGTCCCTGCACCGTTCGCACCAGAGAGAGTCGAAAGAAACGACAATAACGATTCATATCGAGGAGAAGGGAACCGAGGACGTTGCAGAGGAGACGGAAAACGGTAAGGCGGTGGTGAAGAAAGAAATTCAGCTCGAGGAAGAGGTGGCGGTCGGCGAGGAGGGAAGAGAAGCTATCGTTGCATCCTCGTACGTCGATTATCAACGACCACCTGCTGCTTTCCCGACACACACAGATTCGTGCCCGGTAAGCCCCGCGAACGATCGAGAAGGATACTCGTTGCCCCCGAGTCCTCGAGGGCCGACCAGCTCCGGTAGATCCAGCACCAGTTGCTCCGACAGCGAGATGGATCCACTCGACTGTTCCTCCGCCAATCAAAATTCGTCGAACGATCTCACTCGTCGGCGATCATTCTCGCTAAGGTTCAAGCTGGACGTTCTCGACGCTTTCCACAGGGACGTCGGTGTGGCGGGCAATCAACGCGCCACGGCGAGAAAATTCGGCATCAATCGGCGTCAAGTACAAAAATGGTTGGGCCAAGAGACAGAGTTGCGGGGCGAGATCGCTCTTCGCGGAAACTCGAGGCAGAGGCTCGGCCCCATCCAGGATGCCGCTTCCGGTGACTCACCGGTAGATCTGAGAACGTCGAACTACGTTTCCAGCTTATCGCAAGATCGAATCGAAGTCGAGTACGAGCAATCGCCTCCTTATTGCTGCGATGTTGGTTCTTCGCAGCATCTTCCATATTACCAACACGCAGGCACGGTCGATGTATCTTGCGAGAACGAGCCTGTCGTTTCTTGTAATCTTTCATGCTGCATGGACGGCCACGCCGTGACACCGGTTGCCTCATGCTATCAGGAAGCCTCCTTAAGGGGATCTTGCTACTCCGACTCGCAGACCAGATTGTACTGTTATTCCCCCCGAGAGTATTCGTCTGAGATCACCTCGGTTTCCGAACACTCGGAAGAACTGTCCTCACCGTTAAAGAGGCAATATTGCACTCTTTCATGCTGTTACGAGACTTTATCCTCGCCGAAGAGACTCTGCCTAGAGATCGAAGATCAGATCAGGACGAATTCCTGCCAAGAAGTGCCTCCTCAGGAAATGCCGCTTTGTCTCGTGAAGCCAAAGAGGTTCGTCGACGCAGCTGCGTCGAGAACGGAGCCTGTGACGAGTACCGTGCCGACGCCACCGGCGTCCGTCGCGCCTCCGCCCTCAGGATCGACGATCAAGAAGGATGCCATTCTGTTCAAGCCTTATTTGGACAATCCCGTGAGCAAACCGGCCAAAGAGCAGACGGTTCAAAGGGGTTTGTCTCCCGTCAGTAGCCAGAATATCATTAACAACAACAACAACAACAACAACAACAACAACAACAATAATAACAACAACTGCCAAAATATTTGCAATTTGAACGAAGGCAGGGGTCATGACTATGCTCTAGAATTAAGCCTGAGATTGCCGGTATCCTGGAGAGCTCATCCAAGTCCGTACGAATTCCCACAGGTTAGAAGTGCGTTCGTTAGGTATCCAGCAAGTCCTCATTACACTTAATTGGAAAACTTGTTTGATCCTCGATTTCGCGAAACGGAAGTTTCGAACGTTTCGAATTCTTTGTTGTAAAATCAATCGACACCAAGTGCCAAGAAATCGATATTTGAACTCGAAAAAAAATTTTTTTAATCGATCGTCGTTGATATTTAAATTCGAGAAAATGAAAAACGAAACCGTAATCCGGATCAAGGATATGAAATCGATTGTTAGATATTCGATGGTCAATAAAAAAGAGAAAAAATCCTTTTAAAAGGATTTACTCGAGCAGGATCGATTGGTACGTGATCTATGACACGTCGTACGCCACGTAAGCGTTTATCGTTTCCTCGATCGTCGGCGTCGCGTAAAACATGATAAAATTTTAATCGGCCATTAGACAGTACGTGGAAAGAGATTATACACACGGTCGCGTCTTCAGTTTTTTGCCATCCTTTAACTTCTTTTGATCTGATTTTTTTTTCTTCTGTCATTCTTCAAAGTTTCTTCAATCCTTTCCTTTTCCTTCTCTCTCTGTCTCTTTCTCTTCTTCTCTCCTTCTCCCCTTCTCCATGAAAATTCATCATGATGAAATATTTTTCTTGGAGAAATTTTTCTCATACCGTCTTATCATCGAGATTAGCTCGTTCGACGGCTATCGGCTAGGCCGTTTAGAGGTCGAGTGTATTGGCTATAATTATAGAATTATGTCAGCCTCTAAATGATAACGATCACGATGAAAACTCGGTAGTGTAGCTCATCATCGCGATTCGTTGCGTAATCGCTTTTATAAATTTCGAGGAAAATGCTCGATTCGTAACTATAGTTTTTCCTTTTTTTTTGTTCTCGTTCAATGATTTTTCAATCTCGATTCGTCGTTGATCAAACCTGAAATAACACATTTGAAATAATTATTTCAGATAATTTGTTATATATTGTAAAATGTTACTTCAAATAATATTATTTATTTGTACGATACAATATAATAATTTCTATTTAGTATTATATTTTGACGATTATTTTAAATGATTACCCCTTATTTCAATGTCAAATAAAATTTTACATACCGTTTTGGCATTGGAATTTTCCACGAATCATTATTATTGATCATCCCATTTCGCGTCCAATCGAGGATCAAATCAATTAGATATCGTTTAATTGCTCAAAGAATTTCTTCCATACACGCATCCGTGGCCCCATGCACGGTGCACAGCAAGTATTACGACAGGGTTTCGTCTCCGTTTTTCCTCTCTTTTGTTTTCCAGAACCTCTCTCGCCTCTCGCGATTTTCCCTCAAGTCTCACATTTCCTTCCTCCTCGGTCGATTATCTGTAAATATGTAAATAGAACGACGCAGGAGGATCAAACCGATCGAATCGTAATCGATTAATCTAACGAATTGTTTTGTGTGGCTCGGTTCGATCCTCTCGCTCGAACGGCCATTCATGGATATTTTTATATCGAGTTTTTCGATCACGAGGAAGAAGGGAAGGGACGAAAGGTCGAAGAAGGAGAAGTGCGAGAAAATTCATATGACCGCTTCTGTTCGAGGCCTTCGCCATTCGTGCCTTTCTTCTCGCTGGTCTTATTTTGCTAGATCAAACGCGTAATCTAATTCTGAACAAATTTACACGTAGATTTATAATTACATAGTTTGTATACAGAGATATATTTTGTACAAATTTGCGCCCTTCGAAGGGCAGTTCGAAGCGACGAATCAATTAGATGTTAAAAAAACTTTTAATATCGGTAACGCAACAATGTAGTTTTAGAAATTTTTATGATATTGATCGATGGATTTTTTGGACATAATCTCCATACGATATTCTCTACGTATATTGTCGATCAGAGATTTGGAATCGTTAATGCATTCTGTAAAATACAATTATTCATAAAACGTTTAAATTAGAGTTCAGTTACTTATATTACTTATTCTGTGCAAACAAAAATGAGCACATTTATCTTATTAATAATGCAAATTTGCTTTTGTCTTAATAATAAACGGTAATAAAGTTGGAATGGAATTAAATTTTTTTGATTCATTATCAGTTAATGTTTTATTTGTAAATATTTTATACGTATGTACGATATAGAAAAGAAAAGAAAAGGGATTTCAAATTTCTGATCAATAGCACGTAAATATATCGATGAGATCTAATGCGAGATTGATCGCGAGGGGAGATTTTTAATAAAGATACACACGATGAGATCGATTCGCAAAAACAGGCGTGCCTTAAACGATATATATAATAAACATTTCATACAGGGACGCAATATTGTTTAATATCGAGTGTTAATACAATTTTAGAATAATAAACTTATTCACAGAAAAAACTACGAGAGAGAGAGAGAGAGAGAGAGAGAAAGAGAGAGATGTTCTTAATTATTCTTATAAATTATTCACGCGTTCATATCATTTCCAGCATTCGTTCTCTGATTGATAGAATCCCGGCCAATATATTTCGATTCTTGAGTCGATAATACGTTCATTTTTATCATAAGACGACCATCGAAGCAACAAATCTGATTCATTGATCAAAAAAAAAAAAAACTAACAGAAACTTCTTGTTATGTTTTCTATTCTGATAATCTATACGCAGCTATCTTCTATTGGAATCGATTGGAATGAGATAGTTGACGCAACGTTGTTTTTTTTTTNTTTTTTTTTTTTTTTTGGATATAACACTCGTCAAGCCGTGAAAGTTTCCCTCTGGATGGAAAACTGAAAATAACCGTTCCACGAGTGTTCTACGATCCGACAATTGAGCACGTCGCGGCAAAGAAGGGCAATTTTGTAAATTACCATCGCAGACAGAGTAGTTACGTCAATGTTTCAATATTCAGGCTCAATCGAGCTCGTTCCAAGTGCGACTAATCTCACGCGTTGCGACAGCATTATCGGCCATCGAGGATGCGCTCGCAATGAATCGTGGCACGCGCTAGTCGAACAATATTTACCTGGACGTTTGCCTTATATATGTACACGAGTGGAATAACAAATAATAAATTCCAATTGAAGCAAATTTTGTCGAATTATACATGGATTTATTTCTGTGTTTCTGAATTTTTCGAAAGCAATGATTTTTTCGGCAAATTTTTGATCTAAAGAACGATTAATCGACTTCTAGAATCGGAAAGAATGGGAGAAGAAACCATATTAACCTTGTTCGCGTTCACCAATAGAGTCAAGGTGGCAATGTACAATAAAATATAGCGTAATCTTAAGCCATAATGAATTACATAATGCCATAACAAACGTTTTACATAATAAACGTAGCGTCGAACCGACTGACGGAAGAGCGAGAGAGAGAGAGAGAGTGAGAGAGAGAGAGAGAGAGAGAGAGAGAGAGAGAGAGAGAGAGAGAGAGAGAGAGAGAGAGAGGNG